GGGGGGAGGGGGGCGGTGGGAGCCCCCCCCCCCCCACCCGTGGCTGTGAGCTGCTCGTGGACCCACCAGACATCCAGAAATGGAGCAAAGGATGTAATTTAGCCAAACCTGCATCTCTGATGCGCATAAGCCAAGATCATGCAGTCTGGTTCCTCCACACTCATGTACGTGGCACTCACTGTGCTGTCCAACTGTGCGCACCGATAATCCAGAGAGCAAGGGTGGAATCCTGAATTCGGGGGAGGGGGGTTTGTTTGAGCGCTGGGGTTTAGCCCGGTGCTGACACCTGCCATCCAGGCTCTGTAACGGGGTGCTGCTTCGGTCCTCTGTTGGGATGATGAAATGGGAGCAGCTCCTAACAGCCGGCACCCCACGAGTTTAGTGACCTGGGGGAGGCCAGCGGCTGAATTGTCGGCAGATATTCCTGGTGGCCGCCCATGTGTGGGAGGTTTGCTCTCTGAGGAGCGGGAAGGTCCTGTCTGCTGAGCTTGAGACCTGTCAGGGCTGTGGGCTTGGGGCTGCGGATGCCCCTCTCGGGGAGGTTTCCTGGGCTGAGGCGGGGAGCAGAGCTGCAGCCGGTCAGTTTGGGAATGTTTCTGAGTGGTCTCGTGCACATCTACCTCGTGCGTGTTCAGATTCCTGACCGCGTACGGACCGGGATGGAAACCTTTTATTTTGCTGCCTGAAGTAAACGGTCTCTGGACCCGTATTTCTGTTGATACTCCCGTTAGATTCTCATTTGGAATCCAGCTGATGGGATGTGGTCGTATGGACAGCTAGGCTGCCGTGCGTTTCCGATAGAGCGAGCGCTCTGAAGGTGACTCAGGGTTCCCTGAATGGCAGTAATTTAACTCAGGAAAAGCAGCGTAGCCTGACCTAGTTCTGATGCGTGTGTCTGAATGTTTGGCTTTCTCAAACTGTGCCAGCGGGTCTAATAAGGGAGTCCCTGTTCCTCCAAACCCGTACCCCATTGTACCACCGTTTCCTGGTGTATCCAGAGCTGCACGGTCTCTGCTTCACGCCCACTTCCCTAAGAACATGGGTAAATGGTCCTTTCACTATGCCTCCACACTTGCTGGACTGCAGAGACACTTGGTGTGCGGGTCGGGCCAGAGGCGTCCTTTGGGCCAAAACTCACGGTTCTGTTTCTGTTTTCCTTTACAGATTCCCTGGACGCCGCCAAAGCCAGCAAACTGGTGAGTGCCGAGCCCGTGACTCTGCAGGCTGCTGAAACAAATTCCCTTTGCAGCGTATGATTAGTGGAAGAGGCAGACTTGCATGTGCTGCTCTTTGTTTTTCTTTTTATTAACTTCTATCACCTCTCTAAAAGCTCCATTTTTCAACCCTGCAGGAAAAGCGCACGGAGACACACGCATACACCGAACGTACAGAAAGGACAGAGTTTTGCCAGCCTGTCTCTTATTTAGTCCTTTTCAGTTCTGTGCTCTGTAACAAAAATGCCCATGGTAAAGTGCATTTCTTCTGAAACCCATGGGAAACAAGGCCGTATAAAAAGTAATTTTCAACTAATGACCAGAAACCAGTAAGTTACTGAGGAATAAAACCCCAGCACGGTTTCCTGTATTACACGTTTTATCCAGGTTCAATCGATATTGCACCATTCACACCCTGCGTGCCCCTTGGCTGTGTTCCTTTAAATAATGACCCTTACATCCTGCAGGAAGATGCTCCTCGGGATATTTGAAATTAGCTTTCTCTGGCTTATACGTACGGCTTACAGAGAAACGGTGTGTACTTCTGAGTGTCTTTATCCAGGAATCTCAATGGCTCTTGAGGCATAAATGGGTACATGTTGTATCCAGAGGTGACGGGTGTTTCCTGAGGAACGGAAGATTGGAGCAGGTACCCATCTTCGAATACTTTTGACCCCAGACAAGCACAATTAAATAAGTACTTAAGGTTAAAAATGCCAAAACGGCCACGTATGTATATAGATACCGAGGAATCTGTGGTGGTGCTGGGCAACACAGTGAGTTTGGTTTGTGCGTGCTTTGGGATAGAAGCTGGATGTTTCTCAGGGACAGACTGGTCCATCCCGCGCACAGGCAGCTGTGGAAAAGAAAACAGCTTATCTGGAGATAAGGGGCTTCACGTTGCTCTCTTGTGTGCGTTGACACCTGCGGTTCTGCGTTAGGGCAGCTTGCGAGCCCAGTCTCATGCCTTGAAGTTTCAGATTAATTTCCAGGAGCGGGAAGACTTTTTTTCCCCCGCCTCGATGCAGAGCCGTGTGCTGGGTCCTGGTCAGCCTGTGCAGCGTCGGGATCTGGCTGCAGCTGGAAACGGGTGACGGGCCAGCACCTCGAGGTGCTCCGGGGGGTTAATCGGGCTCCGATGCCTGGGAGGTTGTGCCTTGCCTGCACTCTGAGTCAAGCTGACTGCCAGAATAGAAGGTGGAGGAGAAATCCCCCATCTCGTATTAAAGGGATTTGGAGAATTTTGCAGGGGTTGCCTTTTTCTGCTGAGTGGGGCATGACTGACCCACCAGTGTGTCTGGTCTGATTGGCCTTTTCCATTGCAGGGCCTCTGGCACTGGTGGCATCTTTCCCCCTTGTGTTCTCTGCCTGTGACGCATAACAGTTAGTCTCCTGGTTTAATTATACGCTGGAATTAATATGCGAGTTGCTAGGTGAAACTGAACAGTGCGCCTTGTAAAGGAGGTCAGACCAGACTACCCTTCCTCAGAATAAAGGCTGCAAAAGGGAGTCGTGAAGCGTTGGAAGAAAAAATTTTAAAATTGTTTTAGAATGTTTGTACTAAAAGACAAATATAATATTTATGAAGTGAAAAAAATCTTAGCGTTCATGAAATCAGGATGCTAAAATAGTAATTGTTCTTTAAATTCTTTATGCCGCTGACATTCTGAGAAGGTTGCAGGAAAGGAGATGAACCAAAAGGGTTTGCACCCAGCACGTTTAAGAAACCCCAGATTAAATATCTAATGGTACCTTCTGCCCATAAGCATCACATTTTTTTTTTTTCTGCATAAGAGGTTGAGAATTTGGTGCTGGCCACTGTCGGAAGCAAAACGTTTTGGTAGATGGAGCTCCGTGCTGTTCTGGGCTGGGGATGCTGCTGCTTGACGTGCTGCTGTGCTGTGGGGCATTCGGTCTGGTTTGTCATCATGGAAAATGCTGGAGTTCAAAATTAACATCCTGCCACCTTTCAAATACTGTTTGTGGTGTGACAGGCTGCCGAAGGTAACTTGAGTGATACCGCTGTGATGGGCATTCGCAGATTTGTCTTCTGCCTTGCGTGTTGGAGACAGGCGAATTCGGGCTTTGCTGTTTGCCTGCCTGGATTACACAGCTCCTCCCAGGAGCTGCTGTGGCTGCCGTGTAGAGACATAGAAATTAGGTGCCGGAAAGCGCTTTGAGCCGCTTGCCCAGTATTTCAGCCCAAACAGGTGTCTTTGTTGAACGCGCGGCTGGCAGGCTGGCCCGCCTGTCGAACGCAGGGTCCGCAGAGCGGGTTGGGGTTAGTCCTGCAGGTGACATGCCGACACCGTGAAGGGTGCCGGTTTCCTGCGTGCAGGTCTGATCAAAGGCTGGGGAGTCTGGCTTCCAGCCAGCGTAACGGCACACTGCGGAAGGGAACAAAAGCAGCTGCCGCCTCTTGAGGCGCTGCCGGTGCCAGGCAGAGAGCCTGCTCCTTCCCGAGAGGCTGCAGTGACGGGAGGCAAACGGACACCCGAGGTACAGTTTTACCTCGTGCAAAGCCTGAGTTCTAGGGCAAGCGTTCTCCAGCATCGCTTGTTAACCTCAGCGCTCTTTAATAGGTCTGGATGTTTGCTGAAGGTGGTGCCGAAATGGTTTGCAAGTCCAAGCAGCAAGAGTCTGGGGAGGTTAGTGTGAGTAACTCCGGGGGGAATCCTGTCTTGTGGTGGGTGAACCCCTCTGCGTGCAGGCTGTGGCGTTAGTGGAGCCTGAGCAATCCGGGGTAGAGAACTTCACGGCAGCGTGACAGCAGCCTGCCCCTTCCCAAGAAGGGCTATCTCCTGCCCCTCGAAAACCAGCCGAGCTCCCCAGACCCCGAGGTGGCTGCAGGAGAGCGCTGCAGTTGGTTGTGGTCCTCTCGATCCTTTTTTGCCTTATCCATATGTGCGTTGGCTTGACTACATAGTGACCATTGTCACAGTTTGTCTAAAGAAGAGCTGCTATTTTCTCAGAGTAAAACCTCTGCCGCGCAGTATTTTGGGTGATTTCCATCTCGAATGCGTACTCCTGCCAAAGGTTCCCTGCGCCTCCTTCGAGGCCATCATCCCCGGCGCCCTCTCCCCCTTCCTCCCGCATCCTGGAAGATCCTGGCATCGAAACCCCAACTCCTTCATGGCTGGACCCGAGAACTGTTACCTCTGCTCCATGGGGCTGTGGCATCGGGACTTCTGAAAATGGGGAAAAGAGCTGCTTTCCTGTGGGTGGAGGGGGCCCTGAGCGGCAAGAAACTGGAGACAATTTCCAGCGTGCTTTGGATGAAGTGCAATTTCTTCCCAGCACGATTGCATAAACTCCCTGCCTCCATGAAAAACCATCCTTAGGGCAGCAGCCGAAGCAGGGCTTTGCCTTGGTGTGATCAAGAATTGCATTCTAAAAGCAAAACATCATGTCACTCTAAGTTGTGAGCAGTCTTCGTGACCTCAGGCGTGGTGGAAGCGCATCCACAAGAAGTGTGGAAGGGAAAAAAAAAAAAAAAGTCAGGTCCAGCACCTTCTTCCCTTCGCAGTGTCTGATCCAAGGCGGGTCAGTGTGGGAAGTGAGCGGTATTTGTGAGAGCTGGATTTGGGGTGGGATCCCTCCTCCCCGGGGATTCCAGGTTCCAGTCAGCTAAGCACGTTGGTTAACTCTTCTTTGCAAGTGCTGATGGCCACCGTTAAGTGAATTTATTTTCCTGTGAATATGTCCTGGCAACTCAAAAGATTTTGTGCTGGAGGAGTGGAAAGTGGATCAATCACACAGGAGTAAAGCTCGTAAATCAGAGGGTTGAAAACAAGCTCTGTTGTCTGCTTTCCTCTCTTAAGCCATCTTACGGTTGTTTAACTTTACCTGAATGTTATTTTCCTTTCTGATTGTACGTACTTTTGCAGCCCAATGACTTCACTGAGACGTGTTCTCTTCCGTGGATAGCTAGCTCTGAAACGTGCGATGTCTGAACAGAAAGCCGATCGCTTCTTATCACCGCTGTCGATACGATGTGAGCTCTAACTCTGTACCCTTTTGTTTCCTCTTCATGCAGCGTGGAGTGAAACCTAAAAAGGTGGTGCTTTTTTGACAATTAATCTGTGTGTTGCCGAGTCTCCTGGCCGCATGAAAGGCCCTCCAGTGCATCCCAGTTCATTGTCACCCATCGCTGCTGTGCCTCCATCGTCACCGTTGCATGTTCCCTCATTGCATGTGCTCCCCTTCGCCAGCCCCCAGCTTGCTCAGAGGATGGGAGGTAAATGCAGCAAAAGCGATTGCTTCTGAGCCCAGACCGCAGCGTGGCGGAAGGAGCTTGCGTGGCCGCTGCCCCGCCGCTGCTCGAGGGAGGCACGGAGGCTGGCAGCCCAGCTTTACGCTCAATTGTGAGGTTTGTCCGCTGTTCCAGTTAATCGCAGTCGGGTTTCCAGGTCGGCGCTGGGTGCCGGTTACTGCGTTACCCGCGGGCTGCGCCCAGCGTCGCTCCCGACACGTCCGCGCAAAGTTCTTGCATCACCTTACTGTGAGTCTTGGACGCCAGAGGGCCGGCGCACACGTCGCTGCTTCCGCCCGAAGGACTGACTGGCACACCTCAGCCTGGCTTTCGCCGCCTTCTGCCTCCTCTGTCCTTTAACAAACGTTTTAATACGGTGTATGTTCCCTGACCTGTGGGTGTGGGAAGCGCCGGCTACGCACTGAGTGCTTTACGTGCTGTGGGATGCGTAAGCCGTGCTCCCTCACGCTTGCTGTCTGACGTGGAAACGTTTACAACTACATTTCGGTCACCGGGTGTGTTATCACAGGGCCGTTACGTGGCCCGTTATTGACCAATATACAGCAGTTTCCAAAACGATACGAGGTAATGCTACATAAAGAGTTTCCTCCTGAGCGGTTTTAATCTGTCGCTGAGCAGTGGTAAAACAGGGAGCTGCTGCAGCGAAAGAGCAAACCCCAAGAGTTTGGAAAAAGATACCGTGCTGCTGAGAAATGCGCTTTGGTGACCC